TTTTTTTAATGAAAATAGAAAAAATTGACGAACATTATTCTCATTTTCGAATATCTTTTGATCTTTGTTTCCATTAGATGAAAATTAATTATATGAACAAAAAGATTAATTTAAAAAATTGGGATAAATAGTTCTAATTTTAAAATAATCATTCCGTTTTCATATCAAACACTATATTGCTAAACATACTAAGATTGAGGCTTAAACCACACATACATATATAAAAAGGATAGATATACCAGGAAAAAAAAATCTCTAGTAGAATGAGAATGAATGGAAGATGAGAGCAAGAAAACTTATTGTGTACCTATATAGAGTTTTGTAATGTAAAGAATATGAAAAGATGGAGAAAATTATATAAAAATTGATCAACAATAACTAAGAAAAATATGACATGAAACGTTTTTGGATTGTAATCAAGGAGCTTATGACTATCTATCTTCAATCTTAAGTATTGAATTTAGTGTAAAGCATTAAGTGCTGTTGGAATGAGTTTAACGGCAGAAACTCAAACGATCATTAATTAAAAAAAAAATTGTTTTGCTATCATTATTTATTTAATTTTCAAATTTTGTAAATGACATTTTCTAATTTAATAAATAAGTGAAGGGCATTTTAGTAATCCAACTTTAAACTCAAAACCTTCCCACTTATAATAATATATGATTTGATTGCCTTTCATCTACCAAATTTTTTTTAACAGGGCATTGAACCATGATAGATGCATTTGGTTTAGTTTCTAAATTCAAAGAATCACAAACTTTGAAGAGTTTCATACATTTTAGTTTTATGACAAATAAATTTATGTTAATTTCAAAATTCAAAGAATCACAAAATTTGAAGAGTTTCATACATTATTGTTTTTTACGCTAATTTAATTTAACCTATTTAATTACAATTATAATGTCATAACTAAAAAATTAAAGTGTAGTTTTAGGACTTTATATTATACCATTATGTAATTAAATATAAGTATTTAAAAATAAATTAATTTATTTTGATTTAGTGGAGGGGCAAAATGGTAATCTAACTTTGAAGGTTGAAGCTTTCCACTTTTATTTATATATATATATATATATAT